AAAGAGTGTCCTGCCCCGTCACAGAGACAACTGCTCACACTTTCATAATGTGAAGGTGAGCAGAAACTTGCATTGTGCCCTTTGACATAGCCTTATGCACTGGGGCAGGGGGAGGGGATTCCCTTCCCCACCGAGTGAAGCCTGCTTATTTATTTATTTATTTGAGATGAATCCTTGTTGCCTCAAGAGTTTTCCCCCCTCAGAGATAATAGCGGTGGCTCTCGATGGATCCATTTGTTGCCGTGGTGATGTGCCCACTTCTTTTGTTGGTGCTTCTCTACTTCAATAAGCCCCTTCCTGTTATCAGCCCGGTGAAAATGTCTGCAAGTTCTTCAGAGCTAATAAACAGCATACATCACTCCTTTCATCTGATCACTATAGTGGGCCTTGGGAGTGAGCGTGGAGTCTGAATCGTACAGCTGCACTAATGGAACTCTGAAGAAAGAGCCCCCGAGTCAGCAGCACGAGGGCCGTAACCTTTTCCCCTCATCCCAAACTCAAAGTGCTGGGACACAGAAAGGACCACAAATAGCTGTACCTTGTTTGAACATTAGGTATTAATCCAGCAGGGTAGCCTTTATTTGTTTCAAAACAGAATTCAGAGCCATCCTGGTAACTCAGAATGATACTTTTGAAGATAGCCCGGTTGACTAAAATTGTCCTGTATTGGTTTTGTTGTGTTCTTTCTCCCCCAGGAATGAGATGGAAAGACATTTTTTGGAGCTACTTCAGTTTAATATTAATGTTCCTGCCAGTGTTTATGCCAAATACTACTTTGACCTTCGCTCTTTGGCGGATGACAACAACCTGAATTTTCTGTTTGCTCCACTCAGCAAAGAAAGAGCACAGAACCTGGAGGTAGGGGTGTGAAGTCACTAAGTGGGGTTTTTCTGTCAGCCACCAAAGCCAGCATCTGGGACCGAAGCATATTAAGCAGTGATTAGGGAACTGGGATGCTTTTGAATTAACAAACACATGAAGAGCTTATTAACCTTTTGGCATCATATTTCCTGTGTCTTTTATGGTTTGTACAAGGACCCATGTTTTTTTTTTTTTAATTACAGATATCATCTCTTCTGTGACCATGATTCAGAATATTTTATCAGATTTAATCTGTTCTTAACGATTGTTCATTTGAACCTCTCCCCTTCCACATAGTCATATGTGAATAATTTGTGATTGGATCCCTAATTACATCTACATATATAATTCACTTAACCACCCTTGACTGTCTTTTATTCAGTTTGTAAATTCCTGTCAGTGTTTACACTGTATATTACAATTCAGTCCCATAAGTGTATTAGGCAAAGTGTCAGTGGCTAAGTCAGGGGACCTGTTAGAATGTAGGAGGGTGTACAGTTTCCATCTTGGCTGTAGGAAGTGTATGGGTTTTAAATGGAAATGGTAACTTACACGGGGCAAAGTAATGTTTATGCCTTATGATTTGGTGAATTTACAGCAAAATTACAACTACTTTCTAGAGTGCCTCAGTAGTACTTTAGAATATACGTTTTTCGGGGCCAGCAGGTGGCATGGTGGTTGAGGGCGCTAGACTCCCATGTGGCCAAGCATGGTTCGAGTCCTGGACCTGCCGGCTTGCTTGCTCACTTCCCCCCCCCTCACTTATTCCCTCTCTGGTCAAATTAAAATAAATAAAGTTCAATGAAATAATTAAATATATATTTATGTATATTTAAACATATACTTTTTTAACATAATTTAGTTTTAATAACCATAATTGAGTATCTAAATAAACATTGATTACTCTGCATACTTGTGTGCTCATCACGTGTAAGGAATATGTGTGCAGGTAACATGATGTTAGGAGCTGCCATGTGCCTTTGACATCTTCAGGAACCCAATTTTTAAAAATTAAGATCCCTTTTTTCCTGCTATATAAGCATAACTCGAAAGGATGTTATCTTAGTCAATTGGCAGGAAGTAGCATTCCCAGAACCTGGCAGTGTAGACTTCAGATAGACAAAAGAGTTGTTAACTATGAACTGTCTAAAGGAGTGTGGGCTTTATCCATGCTGCCTTTATAAGGTTGGAACCCTTCTTCTTCTTCTTTTTTTTTAAATTGTGTCTTGTGTTCTGTTTGGCTTCCTCTCCCTTAGGCCATTTCCAGATTGTGTGAAGACAAATACAAAGACTTGTGTCGAGCTGCTATGAGAAGATCTTTCAGCGCTGATAATTTCATTGGTGTTCAGCGCTCTAATGCCATCCTCTCTTAGAGAGAGAAGTGAGGGGCCATAACATCGTGAACCCCTCATCTGCAAAGACTGGAGAAATAGCACCTCTCCTGCTCAAAAACCAGCAACGTTAGTATTTTCACCAAAAGGAAAGACCTTGAATTCAAGAGACTCATGGACAACAAAAATTACACTCCATAGGAAAGAATGGGACCTTGTCAATGCAACAACACACTCTTCTGTCCTTTTTAATGTAAACAGAGTTACAAAAACCACTCCAAAGCGAAAGCTCCCAACCCACACAGGTATTAGCTTACTATGTAGGCTAACAGCTGTGAACTTTGTGAGGTTTTTTAATTAATAATTTAAAATTTTTAGACTTTAAAGACACTAACCATATAACTTTCGTTTTCCCTATTTTTCTTGGCCCTCTCCACCCTGATATTGCTGCATTATGCCTTTAGAATCAATGCAGTATTGTTAAAACATGGGATTCTAACAACTCATAAAGCCACTTAGGAACAGGCTGTAGCATTGTTAGATATTGAAGGGTTTTTCCTTCTTACTGTATCACTGAAGCTGCTAGTCATTATTGGCAATCATTTCAAACCAAAAAGCTGCTGGATAACGCTTGTCATTCCTATTCTTTGCAAGCACTGCGTACTAGCATTTTAGCGAGTCTGTGGTCATAAACAGAGGAAGTATCAGTTACCGATGATCTACTCCTGTGGGTCTATGCTGCATTTCTTGTGAACTATAATGGTGCTTCTCATTTTTTTAAACAACTTTCCTCTTTTATTTGTTAAATAAATGTATTAAAACAGATATTTTCATAATGCCAACCAACACGGTGGTCCAGTGATAGTGAGCAGAGAGCCACAAGGTGTCCCAAAGTTGTAGTCCAGTTTTTGCCTTGATACAGTGTGCTTGGGCCCTCCAGTGTTACGGCAACAGAAGTCTAAATGCTACAGACCTTGAACCATCATTTGCAAATTTAATTACGTGTAATTTAAACTTACTTGGTTTTGTACATTTTTAATATTAAGCTTTTAATTTTTTGTTTCAGTCCCTCTGAAGTTGGCAAACATTGACTGAAAGAAAAAATTAAAAGCTTAATATTCATAACTTACAACACTAAGTAAGCTTAAAAGAAATGCAACTAAACTTGCAAATGATGTCTTGTAAGTCTGTAGCATTTACACTTCTGCAAGTATCAAAGCTCAACATTACACTTAGACTTTTGGGATGTTTAGTACCTCCACAGAAGTGCCCTCCTCTTTTTGAAGTAGTACTTTGCAGGGCTGTGCTGTTTATCTGCTTTGATCGCCTAAGTTTCTTTTCTCTCAACTCGGTGAAGGAAGATTATGAAGAGCAGTGTTAATTCACATGTAATAAGTTAAAAAGAATCGGACCCTAAGAGCAGTAGATGATATGAAACAGCCTTATATGCGTTAACCTGGCTAAAGGTGTCCCATTTCATGTCCTGCTATTTATGAAGGAACTCACAACAACTTTAGCAACCCCTACTTTAGACTTTAAAGGACAGGGACTAAGTAATCTTAGTGTTCTTGAGTAAGAAATCTCTTTCTCCTACCTTCTCAGATGTAACCCTAGGAGTATTGCCTGTAAACAAAGCATTTCTGGGCCAGGAATACTTTCTCTCAATATAGCAATGCTTCATATTGAGTGCTGCAGATTCTGTCATTTTTAAAGGACAGAGACATAAATGATAAATAATGATATATAAAATATTACAATCTACCACCTCAAAAAACAAACACATTGTTATGGAGTTCAGAGCTTGGAGATTCAAGTATTGATTGCAGTTTTATTTTGAAAAGAATGCTACAACTTACGTGGTTTTTCTTTCTCATGTTTATATTAAAAGAAAGCTAATAAACTCTATTTTAATTAAAATATGGCTAGCGTGTTTGTAGCTCTTCTGTTCACAGAGCATTACATCTCTGCCTACCTTAAATGTCTTCGGTCAGTCCTGACAGTTCTTAAAACAATTTCAAACTGACTATTCCTAAGTTGGTTTGACCCGTGCCTCTAGCTGCGATGTAGTAGTTGTTTCCTTTCGCTTATGTTCAACCTGGAAATAATTTATTACACTTAAAATCACTGTCTGGCTACTGTACTTAAGGACGTAGTGCATTAGATGGCATCTTTGAATAGCCAAAGTCTGTTAACTATAAAACAGTTCCATTTTCTGGATTCAGTTTATGCAGTGTTTTTGGAAACTAGCCTAGCTGTTGCGTGCAAGTTAGCTAAAATCTTTCATCACCCAGCCCTTCTCCTGACCACATTTAATGTGACTATTACTTGACCATTCATTCACCTAGAAGCTGCATTCTTGACTGTAGAACTACTTGGAAAAGCTCTTGACAGCTGGCAGAGAAATCTCCCAGTAAATGTTAGTTTCAATGCAGAATCTGTAGATTGGACACCCAGAATCTCTCTCAACGAGTTAAGGATTAGGTTTCCTAAGTGTAACTGCCAGCCTGCCAGCAAGCAGTACAAAAGATCTAGGAGCTCCTTCAGTAAAGCCTGTTCCCCTGGTGCTGGGGAACATTAGTTTGGTTTCTAAGGCAATTTCCACTGAACTATTTTAAATACTTTTGGCAAGTGAGGGAACATGTACTTAATGTGAGATAAATTTTAAGAATACCAATTTGTGGTTAGGATCTCGAGGGTGCAGGAATAACAAATGGCAAAGCAAAATAGTATAGAAATTAAAAGAGCCAGCTCCATGACAACCAGTAATGTGCTGCTCAGGAGAAGCCAGTGACCACAAAGTGACCAAGGTTCGAATCCCTGCCTCCGCCCAGCACTGTGGGCATGAGCTCAAGCACCCAGGGGCTGAGGACTGGAGGAAGGGGATTGTAATGTGACCAAGCCCGGTAGAGGGGCCATCTCTTCCCCATGTGCTCTGTCATGAATGAAGAAAAAATTGTTAAATAAGGAATCATAAGGCCAATGAAAAAAGATTAACATTCTTTAAAAACAGATTAGGTGACTAACTTAACTGACATAAGGGAGCTAATTTGAATGTGATTAGGGAAATTCAGCCATAGTCCCAGAATCTAAAGTCCTCAAAAATAATCAGTAGCCACTTCAAACAATGTCAAAGGAGTCCCCGGATTAGTCTGCTAGCTTTGAAAAAAAATAAAAGAGACTGCTTCATTTTTTAAATTTCTACGAACCTTACCTGCAGTGGCTCCTGTATCCCCCGAATGTAAGAACTGGCTGGGGCAGAGCTTCTGTGTTTCATCCGCCTCCCCTTCCACTTCCTGCTTCACCCAACCCCTTGGAGTCCTCCCTGAACATCATTCCAGCTTCATCCTTTCTCCTACTGGCATCCAACATGGCATACTTGAGTTACTATGACCTACTTCCAAAGCATTCACACCAGGTTCCAGGAAATGCAGGTGAACTGGCCTCTTGTAACCCTGTTTACTCACCTTGAGTCCTCCTGTGTCCCCCAAATTTACTGTGCTTTAATGGAGTCCCCTTACTTGCTCACAGTCCTAGGCACACTCAGGACTGAGGACAAGGTGGCACTGCCACCCTCCAAACCTAGTATTCATCTGGTTTTAGATGCCTTGTATTTAAGGTAACCCCACCCCTCTCTAACTCTAAAGTCAATTTGTGGCCACACCCCTACCAGTGTATTCCCATCAAATGCCAAGGGGTGTGTGCGTGGGTGCTCCAACTCCCTGAGAAATGGAGAATGGGTTGTGTGTCCTGGCCATGTCTCATTGGGGGTGCTTTCTCCTCTGTCTCTGTCTCTGGCAAGTGCATGTGACCTCTGTCAAAAGAAGTATTTGTCGGGGCCAGCAAGTGGCATGGTGGTTAAAGGCGCTGGACTCCCACATGGCCAGCCACGGTTCAAGTCTCAGACCTGGTGGCTTGCTTCCTCACTTCCTCTTTTCTCTGTCTCTCTCTGATCAAACTGAAAACTAATAATGATAATAAAGTTAAATTTAAAAAATTCTAAAAAAAAAGTATTTGGGAACCAGCAGTTAGCGTAATGGCAATGTCGCTGCACTCCCACGTAGTCGACTGCGGTTCGCATCCTGGACCCGGTGGCTTAAAACTCACGCTGGGCGCGTGTGCGTGCGTGCCCAAGATCCCAAGGGGAGAATGAAGGAGAAGGGATTGCGGTGTGGCCATCCCCCCTTGGGGGGTGATTTCTCGCTTTCTGTCTCTATGTCTTTGTCTGTCTGGCAAGCGCACGCGCCCTAT